CTAATGCTGAACCGTGCTTTACCGCACAGATTAGATTAACGGGCAAAAATTTCGAAAAGCTACCATACTAACGCAAGATAAAATCCTGTTTTAGGATAGTTTGTTACCTTAGGCAAATTTTAATACTACCTTTCTCATCAACTGCGAAATGACCTTTATTTGTTGACCACGTGACAAAAGATATGACAAAGGCACGCCAGTGACGCGGGCCATTTCTATATAGTTCACGATGGCCATCAGTTTGTCTAGGAGCCGCAACGGCAAATACGCATCCTTTAAGCAGTAAACTGCCAGACGTCGTCGTGTCTGTTCGGTGCCATTCTAAAAAAGGAAATCACAATTAAAATTCAAGAAGCTTCAAAACGTGACAATCGAAAGTAGCTGTGTATTTGTCCACCCATCATTCTCGAAAGAGACCAATAGCGATGATTTAGATATACGGGTAGGTGGAGACACTATTAAGGCTAAGGGACAGACGAAGGACCAAATAAATTGATCACATCAAGAATCTAATACTGCCGCGTCTTGCAGTCCAGTACATAGAACCGAGATGGTATCCGGATGCTAAAAACCAGTAAAAACTATTGAAACTGTATGTCCATGTTATCCAAAGTAGGTTCGTCGCTAATTACAAAGTTCATGTGTTATCGAAGCTGCATAATTTGTAAAAGAGTTACCCCTGTTGAAGAAAGATTAGAGAAAATCTTCGTTCTAACCCATCTTCACATCAAATTCGACATCAGCCTAAAAAACCACAAAAACCACTTATGCATACCTGTAAATCGGTAATGATAGAAAAATGAACGTCTTCCTTTTGCTCTTGAAGAAAATGAAAGCTGACTGCGTTTAGCGTGTAGCTGCGCAACTTGAAATCACGAAACAGTACCTAAATCTAACCAGTTTAAACCAATAACTTTACATACTTTACAACAATCAAGAGAGAACACACCTGCAGCAGATCGAACTGAACTCGCCCTTCGATATTAATCCGCTTGTTTTCACGTCTGCCCATCTGTCTCGACTGAATATTCGCTAAACGCACCATAGACTTGATGTTTTTCACGCGACCCAAGAATAGGAATTCATTTACCTAAAAATGACAAATCCGACACTGGTAAAAGCGTGATCGCCAGTCAGAAGATCAATAAACTAACCTTCAAACAGTGCGCCCTGTCCAGCAGATAAGGTAAATCAAAGTTCTGAATGTTGTAGCCGGTGATAATATCTGGATCGACTTCACGGACGAATTCAGCCCACTTCTAAAAAATAAAGCAATCTGTTTATAAGCTGCTTTTATGTAAACTGTATTCATCTGTTTAAAATTTTTTGACCGATAAACAGGCTCTTGAGTCATGAGCGATGATTGCAAAACTTTGATTCCTCATATAATCAGCTGAAATGGGCTTTCGGAGACGAATCACAGGCCTCATGCATCTCTACGTGGTTTGTTGTTCAGATGTATGATAGAACCTTGATGTAATTCTGCATCTGCAGATTGAGAAGTCACAGCTGCGATGATTTCGGCACGTCCTTCGAATGCTTCCAGAAAAGAAGGCGAAACAAATACCACTCGAGAACCAAGCGACGCAAAACCTAAGGGACGGCCAAGATTAACATGGCGCAAGTGTATCGAAGGAGTCTACTCTGGCCCCCAGTTATCTTCTGCTCGAACCTCGAACGCGTTCAGTCTCAGTGACTCGAAAGGATAAGTGGTCATTGAAACTGACTGACTGATAAACATATCTTTACCATTCTATGCAGACAATAACAAGTGGAAAATTATACCTTACACCTTTGTACCAATGAGGTTAAAGATTCGACATTTAAGGGTCTCTATTACAAGCTAAGCACAATCGAGAACCGTATAAAATTAATAGTCTGTTCCAGACTTTACTTCATATTCTGCAGACTGAGTTTTCAGGTTTAAACGTTTATTTGCACTACTCATCTACGTTTGAACAGCACCATATAACAAATCCAAGTATCGACAACTAAAGCTAAAGGGTAACTAGATTAACAACTTGTCGCCATTGTTCATTCTGTCGCTATGTTTATAATCAGTTGCCACTTTCAAATGCCGGTACGGAATTTAAGATTATAGCAGTAGTTTTTGTGCTGATAACCACTCAATTATAAAAACTGCTTTTCGAAGTAAGAATTTTGAAAGAAATGAAAAAGTGCATTTAATGTTCTGTTTAAAGAGAAATAGATAATAAAGAAAGACAAATAGAAAAAGCAGAAAAATTTACAGATAGCAAATCGCGCTCTTTGCTGCAGGAGATAACTTGAGATCCGACGATCGGTGCACACGTGTCTAAGGTGAATATGTTTCGAATGAACGGCTCTTTGGCACCTTGTATGGAGACCATGTTGGCAATCTGGATGACAGAATCGTGTTCAGGTTCCGGAAAGATGCCTTAATACAATTAACATGAGCACAATATGCCAGTCACTGAAGTTCATACCCTGGCGGCCAGCGCATTCAATGTCGAAACTGAGAATCCTAAAAGGAGCTATGCTTGACCAGGCTCCTTCGGGTTCATGAATAATCATGTCTGAATATTCGACATCCACCTGAAAAAGGATTCTCAACACCACGAATCTGCGCAAGCACGTGCTATGAGTTATACTTCAATCTGACATCGAGACATCATGTCTTTTTTCTGCCGTATTTGAAAAGTTTTTGGTTTGAGTTCGATCCAGCAACATCCCGTGATTCCGGAGTCGATCATGAATCTGTTTAAGCATGTAATTTACACGATGCCACTTTTCTTTATCATATCAGACACAGGACCTAAGCATACGCACCTTATCTCGAAATCAATATTACTTTCAAAAGTACGTAAAGGGGGCATCTCCTCTCTTTCAAATCGCCATCCGCCAGATTCCAGAACTTGGCGAGCTACAAAAATCAAAAATCAAAATTTACTGAATCTGAGGAGGCAGCTGCTGATCTGGAACCCACGACAAATGCGAAGAGGCCGAAAAACCAAATTTAATGTACCAGACCGCCAGTTAATTAAAAACCACCCTCATTGACAAACTTTTGCAACATGCTAAACTACTTAAATAGTTTATGAAAAACAATGCTTCCCAACTTTCGGTAACCATTTCACTGATCGAGATTCCACTAATTAATTTGTACTTACTTGTTACGTTTTACGCTGATGAAGTCAGCTATCATGCAAGTTTAGGTGCGCCCCCAAATTAAACGCACCTACAGCATGATTGTAGACATCAAGGATCTAGCATGAGCATACTAGAAAGGAACATGACATCCTTAGGTCATCAACTTGCTATCCGTTTCTTCGCTGGCTGCAGTGAATCAAATTTTATTTCTTCCATTTTAAGTCTGACATTCCCTTTTAATCTGTGAATATCTTTGACCTGAAGAACACTGGACTGAATTCTAAGTCTAAGGGAATAAACAGCTAATATGGAAAGTTTAAGTCATGCTTGGATTCGAACTGGAATCTCAGATACGAAAGGTGAATAATTATCTACCATTAGCCAGATAGGATTAGCAAATTATTAGTGCAGTACTCATATGCATTTACTCCTACGGACGTTATACTACCAAAATCTGAGTAGATGGTGTAAGAGGATGGAATTATGTACTTTTCGAAATATCGTGGCTTTCTATAAATCGATAAATCGTGAATGCATAAAAGCCATAAAATAACACGGGAGCAAAACATCAAGAAAATGTTGGATACTGCTGTGTTCTGAATAGGCTGAAAGATGCGATCCAGCTGAAGATAAAATGAAAACACAGCATATGAAGCAAATTATAACGACAGATAAATGTTTCGGGCGCTTTGACGAACCTGAAGGGATGACTTTCGGTAATACGACTGTGATTTTCAGGAATGTCTTCTGTTTGTTGCAACCATAGCCATAAATGCTTTCACCCATTATTACATTCACGTCTATCACCGAACTTCTATAAATGTGAGGTCATCAACAACGACAAAATAAAAACCCATCTAAGTCAGCCAAGTACTCGATATCTTTGTTGAAACGCAACGTGGGCAATACTGCGGCATTCAAAGAACGGCGAAACGACTCACATCTGGTCGAATCAAAATCCGCCAAGAGCACGTAGAAATATGGCAGAAAGCCATGCACGTGGCAGCAGACCGAGTTGCCGGTTTTGGTAGCACCATAGACGCGGAATGTAGCCTTTGGCGGCGATGAGACGACGTCTCCCTTGTTTAAGACTAAAATCAGGACAGAAAAAACTTACTAAAGAAAAAGAACAAACAAAATAACTTAAAAACAATTGATGTTATGAACTAATAAAATGTCTACCAAGGAGACAATAGGATCCGTCACGTTAAACGCAAATGCGAAAAAAACATCGCAAGATCAATCTCCTGTTCCCATATGATTTTTAGAAGAAAGTCAGAATTCGAGGCTCTCATTGGAAAGCTTCATTTTGTAGGCAGTTCAATGATGCAGCTGGTTAGACTGTAGGGCAGACGTTAGGTCGCCAGACTGCTCATGGCTTGTCTATCCGCTAAGTGCTCGCAATCAATACATCGAACAATAACATTCTAAATCTGCCAAATCGTAATCAGTGGGAATTACAAAATTGGAGACGCGCTGTAACATATTGAATCGGCGATAGTGACACTGATAACAGCCGTTTGGTTACAGTTGCATTAGCAGCAAGCATGGATATCCAGAGAGGAGAAAGTAACGAGCGATAGCAGGACTGGGGAGAAGGATGCTACTGCTTTCATTAAAATTCCAGTCAATTACAGTCCCCCCCCGTCACAGACTTGGAATATTATCGCCCAACATTGTTATTCAAAACATTCCCTCCATGTGATTGCACGAAAAATTCTGCACTTTTGCACTGGTGTGCTGGAAGTGTTAAAACAACTCTCGAGGTGGGATCATGCGCCAGTCGTTCACTCACGATTGGCACCATTAATTCGTATGCACGAATTTCCCATTAACAAAAATCTTACGGTATGCTCACTGTACTTATCGTTTTTTCGTGATTTTTTTCTGTAGTAACGGTAACTGACTAAAAGATCCCACTCAACTTTAAATTAGAATCGTCCTGAGAGCGAGACAAGGATTACATCTAGGCTGTGCTCGCTTTGTGACCACCGCTTTCTGGGCAAATTTCTGAGGCTACGTCATCAGTTTCAAAAAGCGCACTCCCACAAAAATCACACTTACTTTTTCTATACTATGCATTTTCATTTTCAATATGTGTTAATACGCACCTGTCGAATAGTAATCGATGTCGATCTGCTGAAACACAATCGATGACTTTTCGTCCACCGAAAACTTAGGCCTTGTCCAACGCGCGCTGGTTTCGTACTGTTCAGGGCCATGCCCTAAAAAATTGTCAAATGACCGATATGATCCATAAAAAATTGAGTAAAAAATAAATTTTTCTAAATTTCATTATTCATACAATAAACGATCATCATTACATGCCAGTAAAATGAGATGCATCGATGCTTATCAGAGAGCATTTATCTATTTAAGTGTCCCTTAATCATTTCTCTGCAATATAGGGGTATTATAACACCATGGTATTCAGTTTAGTTAAATTAGCCTTATTTATGAAGAGATATAATTCGAGACATTTCCAGCTTCGAAAATACTGCATCATTAAATTTTGT